TTGCTTACAAACTGCATGGCCATGGCAGGCTTCTTGCTAACTGTTCTTATAGCTTAAATTAATCCATTTCCATAAATCTATACCTTGCCACGTGGCTCCTGGCTTACTGGCATCTTCACATGCTGCTTGTCCTGGGGGCGGCTGGTAGTGACTCCTTCTGCCTTCCTGTTCTTTCTTTTCTCCTCTCTGTTAGTCCTGCCTATACTTCCTGCCTAGTCACTGGCCAATCAGTATTGTATTTATTGACCAATCAGAGCAACACATTTGCCATCCAGAACATCCCACAGCAGTATGTTATTATGTATTTTATTTTGGCAACATGAAGCTTTTCAAATCATGATTGCTATTAATTTCTTTTCATAAACCAATTTCACGGGCTTTAATTGAATTTGGAAAGCAAAACATTTTGTTATTATTTAAATGCAACTGATTTAACATTTTAATATTCATTAAATTTATTGTCCTCTAATTTTACAAGCACATTTAGAGTATCATGGAGAAAAGCAAATTTCTAAACATGTATTTGTAAAGTGTTTTCACTGTTTTCGAATAAATTGATCAGCTGACTTATTTATGTGGCAGTGAGGTTTAAAACCCAGGTTTTCAAATATTCTGAGCATATGCTTATTCTACAATCAAGTCAAACACACAGTCCACATTTCAGTTGGAATATAAAGCTCCTGTGGCTGGCTGTGCTATGAATGATAAAGGCCTTTATCTGGGACCTTCCTATCACCTACCAGCATCTCTGAAACTATAGCAAGTTCATCAAGTCATTGGGAAGTGCCATGCCACAAATTTTGCAGTTCTTCACACAAATGTGGCATATTGCCTCATCAGTATCACAGTAAACACAGGAGCTACCCATTCTCTGTATGCTTTACAAGATACTCATCCAGCTTAACATACTGAAGACATTTCACTGATATTTGTTAAGTCAAATAATAAATATATTAGAAGCAAGAAAATGTCATAAATAAATACATACTGTTCAAATTAGATCTAGTACAATATGAACTATGCAAAATTTGTTCTAGTACAATTCCAAGGCCCCGTGATACATAAATATGACAAAATAACTGTATTTTACATACTTTATCATTGATAAGGATCTTTGGATTTTGTAAGTATGTCATTTCTTTGAATATTTAGAGTCAACAGTGTCAAGAATATCACCAATTTTGTTTTGCAGATTAAGAATCAGAAGAGTTCCAAGAAAAGTGTCCTCCTAACACCACAGAACCAAGTGACAATCATTGTGATCTTGTAGTCCAGCATCTTTTCAATTTTTACAAACTTAATTATAAGTAAAAATAAAGGGTATGGTGACTCACTGCAAGGAAATCAGGACTGTGCAGTGTGGAAGGTAAAATGAGACCACATGTCAGCACCAGGCATTTATACCTGCCATGTCATACCCTGAGGTTTCTACTGCACATGGCCTCACTGTAAACGGTATTCTGCTCATCAGAGCCTCAGGCTGCTTTATGAAATGAGTAGTGTAAATCTGAATGTTAGGAGAATTGTTGTAACAAAGTATTTCATATCCACAGATTAGTACCATGCCCTTGAATTTAGCCTGGCTTTGAACTGTAGCCCTAAGATCTTCTACGAGACTTTATGTCATAAAGCTGATGGCAGTGAAATGAAAGGAGACATGCATATTTTACAACATTGGCAACCCATAATAAATAATACATGTTATATATAATTATAATGATCACTGTATTACATTAATTAATTAATCTGCACTACAGGAGAGAAAATGTTCTCCAACCTGTCCCCCTTTGTGTTACCTCATGATACATTTAGTTTCTCAGCATCTAACCCTTGAACACAAGGTTACCATGTGGATTTAATCATCCCTGAGTCTAACTTGTTTCTCAGCCAGTTCTTTTCTCACTGAGAAATGCCTGTCTTTCTTTTATAGGCTAAACGACCTATCAGATCCAGTCTTTTAACATGCCATGGTGTTATCTCCCACACCACCGTCAATATTGTTGACAGTATCATTTCCACTATGACCAAAATCTCACTTTGACTACTTTGAATGAAACTGTGACTTCTGTGAATCATCCTTTCAATCATCCAGGCCACAAAACAATCATGGTCTTCCTTTGTATTCACTTGATCCTCAACCACATTTATTTTGCAATGCATTCTCATTTGTTCTGTCAAGGTATAAACACACAAACATAAGTCATAGAGCAAATTGGCTTTTAGTTGTAATTAATAATTTGGGTAGTCTTTATTTTACAGGATAGAATGAGGGCTCTCTCAAAGCAGCAGTTATGGGTTTTGCAAAGTAAGAGCCAGAAGACAACACAATGGGAAGAAGCAGAAAAAAATGCATTAGAGTACTTCAGGTTGCTTTCTTGGAGGGAGCCAAGGAGCATTCGGTATCATACTGATTCAGGCACACTGGAATCTAAAGTGGGGGGCAAGGGAGTCTGTTTAGGTGCCTCTCTCCTTCCTAAAAGTTTCAGTTTTATTATGTAACTTTAATAACGAATGATTGTTTTGTTTGGTCTGGTCTATTGAAGACTAATACAATGAGGCCAACCCAAAATAAAGGCTTCTTTAATTTTAACAGTTCTCATGTTTGAGGACTTTTATTTAACTCCTTTTCTTGTCACAATTTCTAAACAGAAGCAATGTTTTTTTTATTTTTTTAAAACAAAAGCAATGTTTCTGACTCTCATAACACTGAAATTCTAAACAAATAAAATGGTGTGAGTTCTGCAAAACATTTGTACACCATGAGTGGACAAGGAGTGGTAAAGAAATGCCTAGGAAGGTTGTTTCTGCTGTTCATAAAGGAAAAGAAAACTGTGCTCTCCAGAACAAACAAGAGGAGGCTTTCAAATAGAAGTGACATATCCGGGGCTGAACACTGAAAGATTATTCAGGCTGTACTTTACCTGGAGTAGGGAAGAAGCCAGGCCAGAGAGCCAGGGCTGGACCACAGCAAAAGATCATTCAGTTTGGGCATGATGGCACATATAAGAAGTTCCAGCACTTGGGAGGTAGAAGCAAGATAATCTTACTATCCTTGACAGTAATTTGGAGGTCATCCTAGACTATGAGAAACCTGTCTCAAACAAACAACCCAAAATAAAAAGATACAAAAATAAAAATCAAACCGCTAAACAAAGAGATGATACATTCTGTGTCAGTGAGTGCAGGATATAGTCATGTTGTGTCACAGAGACATCATGATGCAAAGGTATATTCACCCAAAGTGTACAGCTGGCACCATTAAAAAAAAAAAAAAAACATCCCACAAGCTCCTGCAGGATTATTTCTTTTCACTAACCTGTAAGGCCAACCCAACTTCTACCAGCATGGCATGGTCTGGCCTGATTTCATACATCACAAAATAAATACACAGACTAATAATGATTTTTTCTTCTTTTGCAGTGGTGTTTGTAAGACTGTAATACATATTACCACTTGAAGCATACACAGATTGCTTCTCATCGATACAATAGTAACCAAATGCAGAAGCAGAACAACATTGTGTATTTTAAGTTTTGTGTATAATTTCAAAGTAGAGCACAATATTTTAAGACAGGGGGAGTCATAGTATGATGATTTGAAAGGAAAAAAAATGTCCGCCCATAGGCTCAGGTATTAAACACTTGGCTCCTAACTGATAGTGCTGTTTGGGGGATTACTAAATATTTAGGATGGGATCATTGCACGAGTTAGTGCATCACTGGAAGTTGGCGTTGAGAATTTACTGTCTTGCCACACTTCCAGTTTGTTCTCTCTACTGTGTGCGGACGAGAGACGAGGTCTCAGCTTCCTACTCCTGCTACCGCGGCGCTGTTCCTGTCATTGTGGACAGCTAGTCTTTTGGAAGCACAAGCCAAATAGATTTTTCTTACATTGCTTTCAGTGATTTTATGATAGCAACAAAAAAGTAAGTTATGTAGTGAGTTATTGGAGATAAGAGACAGGTGTGAGTCTAAATAGGACCTAGGAAATTAGAGATGTGCAGACAATTGCAAGAGAGGTTTGAGTTGTGAAACTAGAAATTTAAACATGTTGAGTTTGAGAGTTCCATAGGGTACAATTGAATTGGTGAATCTTGGTGTGAAACGTAAGCCAATTACATAAATCTAAGAGTCTCAAGTGTAGCAGTGGTATAGAAAGATATGACATGAAAACAAGTACTTAGGAGGTTAGTTTATCAGAATCCCCATGGTCACTGCTTTGCCCTGCATCTGGGGGCAAGGGACACATCAACTTTAACCTAGAAGCAGTGAAATTCACAGGTCACTAATCAAGTTCTACGTAGAAGAAACTTAGCCTGCAGGAACATGTAATGTACAAGCAGCCTTTTATAGTAGCACAAGCTACTACTCAGTGAATATTAAATGGAATGTTCTAGACATAATTTAGGAGGATTTAGTGGCAGCTGGTTTTAGTACATGCAGACATTATAAGAAGATGCAAGGAGTAATATCCCTTTAATGAGATACACACTTATGTTCCCCAGAAGTCTCTTCCTCAACAGACACTTGCATTGCTAACCATCCCTTTTTCCTAAGGTTTAACTCAGAAAGTTTAACTTTTATATTTGTCCTTTTTCTATTCCTATTTTCCAGACATCAATTCAAAGTTTAAGTTTATTTGTACCAACCTCTGTCTGTGCATTCTCATGCTCTCTGAAGACCCATCCTACTCAACTCTCTGAGAACCCTCCTTCCCCTCCTCTCTCCATCCCTCTCTCTTTTCCTCTACTCTGCTCTTCCACTCTCCCTCCCTTTCTCTCCCTCCCTCCTCCTCTCCTCTGCCTCCTCTCTTCCTCTCCTGCCTTTCTCCCCCCGGCCCCCTCCTCTAAGTTACTGCTTGCTGACTTCCATTGCTGACCCTACCTGATTTCCTTTTAACTCAAAAATGGTAACTACCACCCACCCTCCTCCAGTCTCCTCCTCCTGTAAGTTTCTGTAAAGATTGACAGTTTGCCTGTTCTACTTTTTTTACCTTGCCAGATTCCAATAAAATTGCCCTTGAGTTGCCTTCAAAGTCTGTTTTTAAGTTATTTTATTTGCAAGACTAAACCCTTTAAAGGGGACCCTGAGTTCTGGTAACAGTAAGTTGTTAACTCTTAGAAAGATTGCCAGGATAGACCGTGGCACAGGATTGTCTTCTTGTCTTGACCACAGGACACAGGATTGTATTACAAAAGCATATCTGTATTCATGCTGCCCTGTCTGTTCACAATCTACAAAGAGAAAACACAGAAAAGGTAAGAGGACAGATGAGGAATCCTTTACAGATCATTATGGAAACTCCTCCAGTTTTAGAATGTTTTTTGGTTTTCTCTCTTGTACATGAATCTTACCATTCTCCGTTAGTGATGACTTTGAGTTTCAGAACAAGAGACGTCATGGGAAGAACAGAAGGATGGAAGTAGAGGGTCCAAAGTGCTGGATACCAGTGGGGCAGCAGTGATTAAATGTAAGAAATTATGAAGACACATTGAGACTTGGGAGAGAACACAGCAAGCTGCTCTTCATACCATCCTCCCAAAGGGTTTAAGAGCAGGGAAGTTATACAGAAGTGTGTGACTCATTGGCAAGTGTATGGTATAAAGAAAGGCCAGCAAGTGCAGAGAAAATAAACTTCACTAGGAAAATGAGAGATTTTATGAGGGGCCTTTCAAACATGACCCTAGTGGAGACCTCAAGTCTTAACCAGCCATGGCAGCAGAACCCTGACAGACTGGCAACGTATGCCCAATTATTTCTTGCAATTGGCAGCGCTACAAAGGTCATGTGACCAAATCTAATTAACCAGAAAGCTCTGTGAGCCTGTGATTCTGTCCCTGGACACTCCTTGGCACAGGGTTTCCAGTCTCTGGCAGTCACCCCATTCCCTGGTTTTCTCTAAGCTCCTCTATCTCCCTCAGCATCTTCCCTAATCCCCATCAGATTGTGTATGCAGAGGGGAGTTGAGATCAATTCTGAATATTCAAGGTATTATTATAGATGACAGCTGACTTGAAACTGAAAATTATGGAGCACAATAGCAAGCAATTGGGGAATTAACTATGAAAGTGAGAGAGACACTAGCAGCAGAAATAAAAAAAAAAAAAGCCTAATCCTGTGAAGATCAGTGATGAGAGTAAGCCAGATATAGAAAAAAGGTGATGTGGATGACAGAGGAGGCCAATGGAGGCAAAGCCACGTTTGTAAAACAGTAAATGTGCCCTTGGCTGTGGACCACCATTCTTTCCTTTTTGGAAATGGAGATGCATCCTTTTCTGTGCCAGACCCCAGCCTGCAGGGTAGCAGAGCTTATGCCTTTGACAGCTGCTCCCTGCTACCATGGAGGCAGCTTCATTTCACTGTCAGGCAAAATGATTCTCATGTAGAGATTGAACAATTAAGTACTTAGGCAGCCTGCCCAAGAAGGAAGGCAGCCAGTATGCCTATACTGAATTTGTGGGAGAAGAGAGCTATTTTTTTTTTCTGCAAAGTGAAAAGAAAACAAATATCTTGGACTTGAATGTACACTTAAGGAAGGCAGGAAGCAGACCTTGAAATTATCTAAGCTCTTCCAAAGAGCATTTATTCGTTTCCATTTTACATAGAGAATGAGGCAAACAGAATGCAGAACACACATGCTAAGAAAATTTAGAAATTTGGCAGGCAATTAAACCACTAAACCACAAAATAATTTGTCATTTTACTTCAAGCACTATAAATCCATGGACAAATGTGAAAGCAGATTTTCCATTTAAACTAAACAGAGGAGGTGGAAAAAGAAAAATTGGCAGGGGAGTTATGGTTATTTTTAGACTCTCATTAAAATAATATAGAATCAACAATAAAGAGAGTATTTTGTGATTTTTATGTGGACTTTAAATTATGTTTTGAATGATTTTTTTTTTAAAAACCTGATTTAGGTATGAGTGTAGGCCACCTGTGTCCAGTGCCCACAGAAGCCAGAAGAGGGCGGTGGGCCACAGGTGCTGGAGTTACAGGCAACTCTGAGCCCCTTCACATGGGTGCTGGGAACTGAAATGGGGTCCCTGGCAAGATCAGAAAGAATGCTTAATGACTGGGCCACCTCTCCAGCACCAATATATGATTCTCTTCAACATTACAATCAGTGCTTCAACATTTTTTAATTTGTTTTCTGTCGAAAGCTGATAATATTTTTTCCCTGTTTAATTCCATTTTGGTTATTACTATTACAAAAAGTGGTTACAAGATATTTTTTTTTGCTCTCTCAAATAACAGAAAGTGAAATCAGGTTGTACTTAAGAGGGTGTGTACCACCATCATTATGTAGCCAATGTGAAGCATAATAAGATAACTAGGACAGCTCCATCACTTTTATCTTTATAAAAATTTCATTTGCAGTAGTGAGGATGGCTCAACACGTAAAGGATCCTGTTACTAAGCCCAAGTCTCCCGGATCCACATCATAGAAGGAGAAAAGTGACACCTCTAAGTTATTCTCTGACCTCTACTTGTGTGCCCTGCCATATGCATGCATGCTTGCAGACACATACATAAATAAATAATGTAATTAAAATTTTAAATGTACTTACAAGTTTGTTCTTAGAAAATAAATAAGACTGAAGTTACTATATTAAATTTTTTTTCTTTGTGTTTCGTGAAACAGTATGTTGTATAGCATCCTATAGGTATATATTTACAAGTGAAAACTTGAATTATATGGGGGCATGTCTTGATATGTTTATTAAAATCTTGACATCAAAAAAGACACCTCTTAAGTTAGTAATCCCAAGGATTTAATATAACTAATAGCAATTTCTTTGACACTGAATCAAGACGAAGGACTGTTCAAATACTGTTTTCACCTCTTTGGGTCATTAGGGAACAAGAACTGAACTTGAGTTATTTATATGGCATTGTCTGCTATGGGTTTGAGTGTGCCTTGGATTTTTTATATGCACTTGTCTGGGGAATAGAGTCCTTGGTTTTCTACAGAATCCTGGATATGCTTCTGATTCCCACACAGAGGCTTTAAAAACCACCAGGTAGATCTCTATGAGCTTTTATATACACCCCGGCAGGCCAGAGGTCTGGGAGTTACACGTGATCGCCAGTTAAGGGTGTATTTTTATAATCACCGTTCAACCAATTGTTACTGCACGACTGTCATTTGATCATTGTCCCCTTTAGACAACACTCCCAAGATAGTTGCAGATGGACATGGAGGCTTCAGACAAATCCAGTATGTTAAAACTTTCTGCCACTAAAGTGACTACGTAGATTTCCGAGTGTGAGTGACAGCATGACTTATAGGATATCAGAGGAGTGACAATGTAGAAATAAATCACACAGGAAAGAATTAGTAAATAATCGAGGACCAAATGATTGAGTTTGATAAGACCACATTCTCTTAGGAGCTGTAGGCAGACTCCTGATTGGTCTTGGCCATCTGCCCCTCCCACTGCTTACCTGTGCTGGTGGTCTGTTTGCTCTGTGCAGCCCTCACTATCTCTTCCTGGCAGGAATCTCCAAGGGAAACGGGCCCTTGCAAACAACCCCAGTCAGTTATCAGTCTTACACACCCCAAGAGACTCCCATTTACCCTGTATGTCATCAAATCATTTGAGAAATTTTCTTCTTAAAGAAGAGATACAAGTGCAAGATCATTTCCCTACCCTGGAAAAGTCATTCAAATTATAATTCAAACAAATGAAACTATAACTTCAGACATGTTTCACACCCACATATGAGCAAAGTGAAATACATGCTATTATAAATACCTATCTCAATACAGCAGCCTGTGTTGGAATTAAACATCTAACTACATGGCCAGTGGAGCAAACCCAATTGTCACTTGTTTTTCTAGTATCTTAAGCTAAGAATGCTTTATATCATTGTTAGTGGCTGTGGTATATTGTGATCTCATTTACTCCTACCCGCCTGTAAACATTATATTATTTATATCTTTTTCTAGAAGTATAATTTCTAGTGCTGAGATAGCTCAGTTGTAAACGAGTTGTAGATAGCTCAGTTGTAGATTCACATATACACATACATACTTATCAAAATACAACTATATCTAGGTCTTATATGAGTGTCACTATGAAAAGAGAAAGTACAAGAATTATATAATTCTGTAGAACAGCATGGATGAAACACCTTACATAAAATAGTAAAATATAAATTCAGAGTATTAAATATATCTGTGCATATATAGTGAAAACACATGTGTGCACACACACATTTTCTTCATCACCAAGGAGAGTATTTTCCTCAGGAATTCTAGACTGACACAACATCAGAATATTTAGGAATGTTATTCAATACTGAGAGATTAAGTTAGAAACACTAGATCCTCACAGCAAAGGTAATTAGTGATAAAATAGAATGCAAATTGGTTTTTGAAATCTACAGTGGGAAGCATGGCACACATTGTTCTGATTCATAAAGGGGAGTAATCATAGATTTTTTTGGTTTACTAGATGTTTAAAGAAACCATTGACTTATTCTTGTTTCTGGAAGAGAATGCACACAAATGGAATCAAATAACTATAACTATATAACTGTGGTTGTTTGGCCACCCATACATTTTGTCTTTGCAGAAAGCTGTCTATCATGACCTCACTTTAGCTAGAGTAGTGCTGTGAGTTAGAAATAAAGGCATACTTCTTAAATTTACTTAAGGGGAAGACATCAGGCTAGCATTTCAGGACTCAATAGTTCTGGTTATTTCCTTTTACTGTAGTTTTGGGAGCATGACTCGTATGATTGCATTTTATGCTGGGCCACCAAATGCTCTCACAGGTAAGGGATGAGGCAATCACTATATTGTACAAAGATAAATGTGTGGCTTGGCAGATCTTCCTTCCTTCAGAAGGAACCAGAAGTCAGAAGAAATCAGATGTCATTATTAACTACTGAGCCAGCTCTCTTACTCCCTAGTCAAGTATATAAACTATATATAATGACAATATTTTACTCATGAATTAGTAGGAAAAAAATAAAACCACACCCTCACCAAACACACATGTTGCCTAGCACTGGCTAAGAGTCTGGTACACATAGGCTCATCTTTTATAGAAAAGTCAGTGGGTTACATTCTCACATGACATCAGTTTACAGGTAGGGCAAATGAAGCTCAGCTGTTTCCAGATCATAACACACCCTCCACTAGCTCACAATGCTGCACTTCCTTCTCATTTGGCTTGTGTGTGCTTTGTGTGTTATATTTGAAGATAAAAATGATTTTTACTTTTGTAAGTGGTTGTAGTATATAAGCATCTACACAAACAATTTTCCCTCCAGTCCTGCAAACATTGTATTATTTCTATCTCTTCACAGAAGTACACTTTTGCTAGTGCTGAGATAGCTCAGGTATGAACACACACAATACATGCACACATACACACTCACGAAAACACAACCCTGTCTATATCTTATCTGAGTGGCAAATGTCCCTGTAAGAAAAAGATTTGGCTGCATTATCAAGAGCAGAGCTTGGATGGGAAAGCTCAGCCACTGAATCACAGGTGTGCTTAACCCCAGCTGGAGGCCAGGTAGGTTCCACATACCCAGCCAGGCCAACCTGCAACAATCAACCTCTGAGTTAACCCCACAAAGAACTTTCATTATTTATAGAAAGCTAATCACAGAAAATACTCCTCACTCCTCTGGGAGAAAAAAAAATAAAATTGTTTCAATGTGACTAATCTCCTTCACAAACCCCATGTGGCTTTGGCTCAAGTAACTAAAAGGGTTGAAGATTAATTTTTTAATCTATTAGGATGCATAATCAGGAAATATATTATCCATAGAGTATAATCCAGCCATCTGTTCTCAATTAAAAAGTACATGATACTATTAAAAAGAATGGGATGCCACCATCTCAGTGCCTCTGAAATATGACCAGCAAAGCAGAAACAGTGAGATATTTAGCTGGGATTGGGAAGTTATGCTTAGTTATGTGGACTTGAATTTCTGAATGAAAAGATGTATTGGATAATGATTCTCTTCCAACTGAGTTGTTAATGGCTTTACTCTTAATTATACAAGTGATTGCATTTGTCTTATATGGTGATTTATCCCTGAATATTATGTACTTAACTTCACTTAGAATTTCCATGTAGCTTTTAAAATAATATAACTCTAAAAGTCCTTAATAATTACAAAGCTGTTTTGTACCCATTGCCATGAAAATAGCTTTGGTGGAATCCACACCACTTTGCAAATAAAAATAGTACATTTCCGATTTACTTTTCTAACCTGGACATTCACTATTCATTGTATAAAACTGCCAAGAATTTGAGTTTAGAAGGAATTTTTTAAGCACTCAGTTAATATACAAACTCAGAAATATATGCACCACGCCAAACAGAAATCTTGTACCAGCCCTTAAGTAACCAAGTAGAGCACATGTTTCACTCTACAAAGTAGTTAACAACTACAGAATGGTCAGTTATTTGAAGATACCACAGTTTGAAACATTATGTAAATGGAAGTGTATTGATCTTCTTTGGTCTAAGTAGAATAATTTTCTGTTCAAATAAAATCTCATTTAGAGCCCCATTCCCCACATCTGGAGTTGTACAGAAAAGAATGTAATTACAGGGTATTAGCCTACTTAGTAGGGTAATTATGGGCAGATGGCTACTTTGATGAGTTCCCCCTTACCTCACACCCTTCTTGACCTTTTCTTACTTTTCATAGTACAAGACAGAATTTACCATATTTCTCTAGAAACTTTGGGAGCCACAGTGAGAAAGAAAGTTACTCTTGCTTTTCTGGAGTTGCATTTAACAGTGGTGGTGGGGTCATGACAGCAACCACACATTACATGAAGGTAATTGAGAAAGTGGTTGACAAAGACAAAGATAAGAAGAGTAGAAACACCAGTTCCATTTTTTTTTTTTTTGGCAAGCTTTGAAAATAACCTCAAGTCCCAGCTCTCTCTACACACTGTACCTCACAGGTTACTTTCAGCAGGTCTTCACGTTCATTATATTCTAAAGGACTTGAATTATTTTTATTAGGTGTCTATGCATGAGTGTGTGTGTGTGTGTGTGTGTGTGTGTGTGTGTGTGTGTGTGTGTGTGTGAAGGCAGGTATACACAAGTGCAATTAATGTAGATGCCAGAAGAGGGCATCAAATTCTATAGAGCTGGAGTTAATAGAGGGTTGTGAGCTGCTTAGCATGGATTATTAGAACCAAACTCTAATCTGCAACAACAGATTACATTGATTAAGCATTCTCTTAATCACAAGCCATCTCTCTGCCCTCCATGTTCATTGTTTTTAAACATGAGAATTTAGTTATGTCTTCCTTAAGTCCCCAAACTCTGTGCTTTCCAACTTTGAGTTGGAGATTATTATTTTTTTTTTTTATGGAATTCTAATGCCAGTGACATGAAAACGTAACAAATACTTTAAGTAGGTTGACATCATGGCTAGGAAAACATTACAAACAACATCAGTGAGATAACTTAGTAGGTAAATGTGCCTGCCAACAAGCCAGATAAACCTGAGTTTAAAACCCAAGACTTATGCCAGGTGGTGGTGGTGCATGACTTTAATCCCAGAACTTGGGAGGCAAAGGCAGGTGGATCTCTGTGAGTTCAAGTCCAGCCTGGTCTACAGAGCCAGTTCCAGGAAAGGTGCAAAACTACACAGAGAAACTCTGTCTTGAAAAACCAAAAATCAAAAAAAAAAAAAAAAAAAGAAAGACTTGCATGGTAAAACTCCAAGTTGTCCTCTGACCTCTGCCTACACTCAGAACACACACACACACAAAACAAAACACATGAACAAAATAAGAAAAATATAATAAAAACATAAAAAGAAAATCTGAAATGGCCATATAACTGCAAGTTCCACTGCCAGGGTACCACCAAAGCGCAGAATCTTGAAAACAGAACCTAGTAAGACTTAGGGCTTCAGATGTTTTGTATAAAACCCTATTTCTAAATGCCATCCATGCCACATCAGCCATACCAAAGGAGGGAAACTCAACACTGCCCATTTGTACAAGCTGCTGACATTGTTAGGAGTGCTGTCCCTTCCCAAGCAGATATCAAGCCAGATAAGTCTGAGAATACTGAAGATATAGTCCCAAATGGATGGCTGTGAAATATTCATTAGGGAGAAGTTTGACCCACAGTGTCATTGATGCAACCCAGCATGTAGGATAACTTCATCTTCTAAAGTTACACATGTCAAAGTAAAAGAAAAAAAAAGATTTTCCAACACAACTAAGGCTTAAGAAACTACCCTCTTGGTTAGTAAATAGGTTGTATTAGGGAGAGAGAAAGAGGGAGAGGTGAGGGGGGAGGCATCTAATTATCTATTTGAGAACAACTTTTAATATGGTGAAGGGTTTCCTTTTTTTTCTTTGAAAAATAATTTAATAGCTCTCTTTTGTGTATATACAAAACTGAAATATGCGGTTGGTTCTACCATTTGATTGTCTGTCATCTTACCTCCTTCTTGTAAATTTCCTGAAAATCTCTCACTAATGGAGACTTTGACCGCTACATGAATACACACTGCTACCTAGGACATGGCCATATTCCTGTTACTCCAGTCCTAGACTGCAATGAGAAAAATGACATAACAGTTGATTCTTGCTGAACTAAAATTAAAATCAGGGTGAGGATGTAGCTCAGTTGGAAGAGCGTTTGCCTTGCATGCTGACTGGGTTCAAAATCCAGTACTACATAAACATGGTGACACATTCTGGCAGACCCAGCACTCAAAATACGGAGATGAGGATCAGAAGCTAAACACCATCCTTGGCTATACTGCCAGTTTTAGACCAGCTTTGGATACTTGAGATCCTGTCTCAAGTTTCCAGATGTGTCTCAAAAAAACAAACTTATGGAACTAAGTAACCAACCACTACCATTAACAATGAACATCCTTGCAAATTCCATGGCCTGAAACCACAACAGAGAAAGTGGTGAGAGGGAAAGTTACGTTGGACTCACTCAGACATGTGTGTCACACAGACTCACGTGACTTCACTCATGGTTAGAAATTGGTACTGGTGTTGGCTCTGGCTGGGGTGAGTTAGAATATCTCCATTTCCTTACCTAATCTTTCAGGTTGAGTCTTTATTCCTCACCTACAGCAGAACAGTAACAAAAAACGGTGCCTCTAGGCCTTGGTGAAAACCTCACTCGGGTCTATGGGTCTGCTTGCCCAGACTGAAGGGGAAGGGAAATGGATTCATTTCTTGATGACAGAATCATATTGCACTGCACTGGAGGAGCTTTGGGGCTATTGTGGAAAACAACAAGATGCCATCTCTACACGAGCAAAGGAGCATCAAATTGGTTCTTTCACATATACTACCTCGTTTCATCTTAACCACATTATGCAGAAAGATGTTTGTAAAGATAAACTAAAGATGTATTGGGTGTTTTTAATGAGGGATAACAAAAAGTTAGCTCTGACCCACAAGCTTTAATTTGTTTTTCTGATACCTACTAGAACTTAACTTTTATCATTACTCCTTTTAAGACAGATTAGCTTCCCACAGCACTCTAAGCAATCGTGCCTTGTTCCCATCTCAGGCTTTGGTCCATGTCTCTTCCTATCTTGGCAGACAGCATGTGAGCCTATATATCCTCCCTCCTCATTAGGCTGAGAATTCAGTGGGTGTTAACACTCCTGGGGTCATATTCTGATTTCAGTATAAGATAAAAAAGAAGCTTAAGGAAATAAACTTTTTAAGATTCTAATCCAAAAGTTCTAGAAAACATGTCATAGCCAGCCACTTCTTTCCATTTTTATGGATTACTGGGTCTCAGCCTGTTCTGTGACCTCCAAAGACTCAACCTACTTGTGAAGAAAGAATATATACATATATTACAGATGTGCTGTTCTCTGCACTACTTGAAGGGATGGCCTAACTGGTGTGACAAGAAAAGGACAAACATATGCACATAAAGACTGTCATCAGGTCGAGTATGCCCACTTTGATGAAGTACACCAGCCTAGAGCCTCAGCAAATTAATTTTTAAAATCTAAAAGACAGGGAGACAGGTTTAGCTAATCTCACTGGGAGGTCTCTATACAGGAGCACCCTCAGACTGTGGTTGATACTTTTTGCACACACTGATCAATGGTCTATAAAACATTTGTACTTAAACAGAAGGAAGGCACTATCATTTCTCTGAGCCTCACCTGGGGAAGGCTTTGCTACTCTCATGGTTCTGAGGAACTGGCTCCTTGACAGGGCTGTGCCCATGACAACAATACATATTCACTCAGGTCTTCATCTGCTCCAGAAACATATGTAATATTATGAGTTTAATGTTCATTGGGGATAAGGTCAAAATACAGCACAACATCTGAGTCAGCTGGCAAAATAAAAGTTCATTTCTTCTTGTCAGGGTGTAAGGAGGGACACATGTGAGCTAAAGAGACCAGGCAACATAAGGACTTTATGTCCTTTGCCATCTCGGGTTTCCACAGATTTATTCTCATCATTTAGCAGGGAAGGAAGAAGATGGAACATGCCATGTGTCATGTCCAGGGTTTCACCAGCTGCAGACAAGGCTAGAGAATGGACCCCACATCAACCAAGGAGAAAAATAAAATTGTTTTGATGGCAGATCCTACCATACACTGTAAATTTTATAGTTCCTACTGTGAGTTTTTATTATTAATCATTTTTTCTCCAGCTGCTTCATTACCAATTTCAACTTTTGTGCATTCATGCATCAGACATAATTTTTCAACACTATTTTAGCCTATTTTTCACATTACTAGAGTTTAGCCTATGTACTTGTATGTCTTAGAATCTTCTGTACACACCTACTGCTAATGTAGATACATAATTTATTGGTTGAATGGTATTTGATTACTAATATTTTGGCTGTAGCTCAAAAGTTTTGAAATAATAGGAAACACACTGTTGAAATAAGTAAAATAAAACTACTGTGCTATCTTTAAATTTGGGAGATAGTATCCCAAAAATGAACTCTTCATTACTAAATCAAAGGTAATTTCATGATATTGCTACCTTAAATTGGCTCTAAGTTATTCCATTAATTCTGCTTCCATTTAAAAATCATCTCTGAGCTTTCCTTTCCATATAGTAATGTGGGAATTAGTGGAGAAAGTCACAGGGTCCTGCTCTTTTTCCTCTAAGACAGCATAAGATACAATCTTCCTGTACAACTGGGTCTGCTTGAAGATGTCATAGGTCCATTTGTCCTTCAGCCACTTTTCTCAACCCTCAACATGAGAGTGGAGGCAAAGAATGTATTGTTTCTTTAACCCAATTCCTAAAATGTTGCATGTACCACAGAGGTGGCCCAAACTTTTCAATATGGTCCAAGTGAATTTGGTATTCAGATTAAATAATACTGAAGGTGGATTGTTATAGTGTAGTACTGTTTTCCTTGAACAAGCTGTGAAAAATCTATTGAATGCATTCAAGGAGGCAGATACCTTAAATACAGAACCTTAGGACACAAGGTAACCTTCCAATTCCTTTTCTGATAGAAACAAATCATATGATTCTGTAGCTCTGACAAAGAAGAGAGATGGAATTGTTAGATGACATTAAGTGTGGAGATGAGTAAGGCAGAGATAAGAATAATCTTACTACCTAGAGATTTGAGAAAAAGCATATGAAAATAACAAGTTATGTTTTTAGGCCTACTCTATCTTTTCCCTTCCAATGCCCTCTGAGATAAAAGAGAGAAATGGGATATAAACCGACAATATTGATAGTCAGAGTAAAAAAAGTCAGACAACTCATAATCACCCAAACTGTTATTTTCTGGATGGAAAAAGCAATGCAAGAAAAGCTGCAGAGAAAGGGGCTGGGATGAAAGTGTGCAATAAATCCAAACCAATTGCTGCCTCCCTTGTGAAAGAAAAATATCAGGGTCTGTGCAAGAAGAACATAAAGCTGAATTATTCAGCAAAACAGGAAAGATATATAACCACATGGATCTCATTTTATACCTGGAAAGCCAGGTGGAGCTTATAACTCCATTTTCACAGGGAGAAATGCAAATCAACTATTTTTTTTAAAGACCCAAATGCTACATAGAAACTTGATAAATAACAATGTAGTAAACTGGAAGGGACCAAATTATAATGTCCATTGTTAATCACGAAAGCATCAAATATCTGAGTTGCTTCTAAACATCTGCATGTAAAGAAATGACATAAGACCTCAAAGTTCTGACACTTGTAATTAATTATTGTCTAATCAAAAAGACATTTATCCTTATCCCTAAACACACCCCTAATGTATGTTGCTACTCTTCAGATAGGAGATTTTCATTCCAAATTTGGAAGAGGCAACATAAAATTCTATTAGAGCATGTGCTTGAGTAATGAAATACCACTAGAATTAAATTGAGAATCATTATTAAACTCATAAAACTGCAAGTTTCAGAGTGTGCAGTTTTCATGGCAGCTCCACATGAGAACAAAAGAGAGGAGGAATGTTCTCTAGTGCACAGGCGACTGCATTTATTTCAATCTAGGCATTACAAACCTAGACAAATGTGGAAAATGCCAATTTTAACTACACCCTGCTGGAAAAATAAAGGAAGTGAACATATTGCCCTTCAAACTGTGCTTTATAACTTTTCATCAGCGTACTTGATAAATTTTTATCCTTAATCCCTGGCATACTTGATAAAAAGAATATTTCTTTTGGAATTGCAAACAAAACTAATAAAAATCATGTGTTATCCACATACTGTCATTTGATTGAGACTCCTAAATAACATGATGGTCTGTTCTCAATGCTAATATAAAAAAGCTGAGAGACCTCTCCAGAGGGAACTGCTCTTGTTTTGAAGATACCCTTGTGCTGATTGACAGCTTTTCCAGTGTCTTCCCCAGTCTCTTTAACTTACAATGAGAATGAAAACTTTGCAGGAGCCAAACTGTGTCCTGATTGATTATTCAAAACAATTCATCCACAGGGCTGAACACATTGTCAATTAAGAATTAACTTCCTTTTTAAAATTTTATTTTGCAGGAGAAGCAACTCTTTTTATTTTTTTTTTATATAACACAAAATATTCTTTCCAGTGCTACTGCATTTTGAGGACTTATAATAAAGATAAGACAGAAAATATCAGAAATGTTTAAGGTCTTGAGAAAAGGTCAGAACTTATGCTACAGTGAGAGACTAGTGAGGAGGCATGGGTACAGCTTGAGCTGCGCTTAACTTTTCATCTTCATCTCCTTTATGGATACCCCAGGTATGCATCACCCAGAGACAGGGGGCAGAGACTGCAAGCAGAAAGCTGAAACTGTTTATGCCCATTTGATGATAACCAGAATTTTCAGCAGGAGAATCTTTTGCTTTTACACATTGGCTATTTACTGGAGGTCAAGCCAAACTGACACCTTTGAGATCCCGGCTGGGGTGTGTTTTACCAATAAGCCTCCAGACTAAGTATTGGACTGTATTCGTGGGGCAGCTTGGCATGCCATGTCTAGATTTGGAAGCCAGTGAGGGATCTAAAAAGAAGATAAGGACAGGAAGGTAAGGGCAGAGGGCAGCATTTCTTCTCATTAAGCAAACTGAAAGTAGAAAACTGCATTCTTTAAGTGTTATAGCTTAGGTATTTCATCAGACATGCAGACAACATCTGGGATTGTGAAAAAATGTGAATATTATCAGAATAAGAAAAGATACACTATCAACCCTAACTGCACCAAAACTCAAACTAAACCAAACCAAAATCAACCAACCAAGCAAGCAAGCAAATAAGCCTAAACCTAAAACTAAGTCGTGCCTGCAAGTTATAGAAGAAGGTTCATTGGCACAATTGCCTAGTAACATCATAAATATCTCTCCTCTACTAAAACTTTGTATGGATGCCACTACAAATTTAGTTGTACTTCTACACAGATATCTGCCCAGCAATGGTCAAATAAACTCCATTGATTCCAATCTTGTGATTTATTGTTGTAAACAAAAACTATTGTTTCAAAATATCTGATGTGACCTTCATTTTTGTCTTTTGGGGCATCCCCTCATCTTAATATCTTTGACTATACCCACATTTTATTAGGAGTTTCACATGCCCATTACAATGTCCTGCTACTCTCCAATAAATATTATTATTCTTTTGAGGATCTCCTTGTGTTTGGGCTTTAATAGACAGACAGGTACTTTCATAGAAACTGTAAATCTCACTCTAAGACTAAGTTCTGGCATCTGCTGATCCCATGGAGAAGAGGATGATATCCCTGCCTCTGACCTAGCAAATGGAAATCACATGAACCTGGCTACCTGTTCTGCTCAATTCTAAGACATTTTTTGTCACAAAATATTTGTAGTTAATTTGGATACCAAGGCTTCCCATTATGGACACATAACCTTGCTGACGGCTCTCCTGAGATTCACAGTGTGTGTCAACAACACACGATGGTGTCTTTAATACTGTAGAATGAAGGGCCAGGTTTAGCCTTTAGTATGTTTGGCAGCAGTGAAGGATTTCTCCAAATCCACAGCCCTGGCAAACTCCTCTCCATCAAAGGCCATGTTGGACAGTTCCTCCTCTTCCTGGAATACAGGGTCCATGGCCTTACCAATTTTACCTGATCCATCCATAAACCCATAAAACTAAAGAGATAGTTAATATGTCGCTTCCTGTAGCCAGCCACTTCTAGCATCTGAATA